CCTTTCTTCTTGTTCTCCTCCTCCTCTTCTTCTTCCTCTTCTTCTTCATCTTCCTCCTTTCTTCTTGTTCTTCTCCTCCTCCTCTTCTTCTTCCTCTTCCTCCTTTCTTCTTGTTCTTCTTCTCCTCCTCCTCCTCCTCTTCTTCTTCTTCCTCTTCCTCCTTTCTTCTTGTTCTTCTTCTCCTCTTTCTCCTTCTCCTCCTCCTCCTCTTCTTCTTCTTCCATCATTGGACGTTGGCAATCCTGTTGGCGATCCTATATTTATCGACAGCCGCACGAAAAAGGGCTGCTGAGTTTTGTACAAATCGGTCCCTTAGATTTTGGAGCCATGATGTTCTTCTTCTGCCTGGACCTTCATTCGCCATCAATCTTTCCCTGGAGGATGCCGTATTTTCCCGGATTTTTCTCATCCCATGTCTGCAATATTCTAATTTTTGCTTTTTTTTTTTAATGGTTTGGATGATTTCCCTTGGCTTTCCCAGGCGGCTTATCACCTCCTCATTTCCAAAGGTGCCAGGTGCCTTTTGGAAAAACACTTTTGGGACAGTTGGGAGGTTTCCTGGAGGCTGGAAGGAAGGAGGTGGCGGTCCTTGTTTTGGGGAAACAGAACCTGCAAGTTCTTTGATCCGGGCGGTAAACAGGAACAGCCTCTTAGAGGAATTAAGAGGGGAAAGTTTCACGCGGCTTTCGTATTAATTTCGTATTATGGCCCTCTTTTCTTTCCCCGTGTCCTTCAGAGGCTGTTCGTTGGGCGCCCTCCTTCTTTCAGGAAGTAGGAAAGTACAAAACAATGACTTATTTTGAGCGGGGCTCCTGCGCAGGGGAGAAGCGCATTCTTTCGGGCGTTAGCGTGAAGCAACCTGTCGAAAGGAGGAAGCCGCCGAGGAGGAGAAATATCCTCACCCGCCATGGTTTTAAAGACTGATTTTTTTCTTTCTGGATGCCATTTAAAAAAATAAATAAATTAAAAAGTAAAATCGGGCTCTGAAATAGCGACCCTTCCTCGCGAACCTGTCCCGAATCTATTGCACTGGAACGCCCATCGTCCCCAGCCAAAGGAAACTTCGGCACATCTGGAAGACGGCAGATTTGAGGAAGGCTTGGCCTAGAAGCTCGTAACTAAGATAAGATGCTAGCCTGGCCTTTTCCAGATGTGACTCGGCCTCAAATCCGCGAGGACGAAGTTCCAGGATCCAAAAGTTGTTGGTTTTTTTTCCTCTTTTCTTTTCAAAAAGTAAGCAAGATCTGGAACAAACGAATATCCTGAGCTTGCAACATCTGGAATAAACATATTGTATCCCCATGCTTAAGCCTCTCGGGGGGGGGGGGGGGAATTTATGACAGATGGAAGCGCCAAGCAGGATTTCTTTTTTAAAAAATAAAATAAAATCAGATAAATCTCCAGCTTTATATTTAAGGCTGCCGCCCCAGGTAATATTTTCTGACTTTTCTTCTTTAAAAGCCCAATCTGGGGTGTCTGAGCCAGATGCCCCCGAGGGGGGGGATGTCTTGTACACCTTAGGCTGTTATCTCCTGTCCCTGTGTGTGTCTCTAACCCCCCCCCCCCCCAATTGTCATAATCAGAGGGAGGAACTCCGACGGTGTCTGCAGACACAAAAGCCCCGCAGGGCTTGTCTGAACAGAAACCTGTTTGTGGAAAACGGGGGGGGGGGGCCTTTTGGAAGAGGAGAATGCGCTCCTTTCTTTGCACAAAGGGGAACAATTAAAAGAGGGGTGGGTGGGAAGACCCTCCTGGCAGGTGGGTGGTCTCCCGGAGGTCAGGGTTGAGGCCAAGAGACCCTCAGTGGTTGGGAAGGGAAGATAAAGAGAGCAGGTCTTACCTGGCTGGGCGGTGGCAGGGAGGGTTTAAGGCAGGAACGTTTAGCTCCCGGCTCTGCAGAATTTCAATGTGCGTGTGTGTGTGTCTGTGCGTATGCAGAAGAGGATTTACAGAGTTGGAAGGGCTCTTGTAGGTCATCTAGTCCAACCCCCCCTCCATCCAAGCGGGAGACCCTACACCATTCCTGACGGCGGTCCAATCTCTTCTGGAAAGCCTCCGGTGATGAAGCTCCCACAACTTCCGAGGGCAACTTCTGTTCCATGGGTTGATGGCTCTGACTGTCAAGAAATGTTCTCCTTATTGAAACTTTTCTTCAAGACCCTCCAGTGATGGAAGCATCCGTCTGGTGGCAAGCAGGTCCACTGGTTAATTGTCCTCACTGTTGGAAAGTTTTCTCCTTAATTCCAGGTTGCTTCTCTCCTTGGTGAGTTTCCATCCATTGCTTCTTCTCCTGCCTGCGGGTGCTTTGGAGAATGGCTTGGCTCCTTCCTCTCCTTTGGGGCAGCCCCTGAGATATTGGAACACCCACAAACCCACACACCTGGGTGTGCGTTGTGTGTGCATGGGCAGAAGGAGCCAAGGGCCGGGCTAATGACTGTTAAAGCAAGCAGGGCGCCTCAAAACACTTAAGCACGACTCCATTTATAAAGCAAAATTTCCCTTCGTGGACTTATGCCAGAAATTTAGCACCTCTAAGCTCCGGGGTTCATATATTTTCTCCCCCACACGGCCTACCTCACAGGATGGTTGTGAGGATGGTGGGGAAAACTCCCAGCCAGAACGAGCAAAAGAAGAGACGAATCGAGGAGACATTGATTATAGGCAGCTCTCCACTTAACGACAGTTCATTTAGTGACCATTTGAAGTTACAATGGTGGGGGCGGGAAAGCCAATGGTTACCCTTTTCCGCACTTGCAGCCTTCTCACGAAGGAGCGATCAGCTTGGCAACCGATTCGTATTTATGACGGTGGAAGTGCAAGCCGGGACGATGGGGTAGCCGGATTCACTTAACAACCGTGGGATGAACTTTAAAGAGCCGCAGCGATCCGCTTAACAACTCTTGGC